AGGGACAATTAAGTCGCTGGCGCGTCGAGATGCGTCGTAAGTGTGTGGCGATAACAACAATAACGACGACAACGGTACCGCCGTATCTCGCCGAGGCCGTGTGAAGTTACTCGCCGTGTGTGTGACGGTGTCAATGTCTTGTGACTTCCAACTCCTTAAAACATTTGCCGGACCCTTAACGAGGGACATTGTTAATATTTATAGTCGTGTTGATATTTAATTACGTCATTTTTATATTGCTTACATTACACATCCATTGGGGTATACAAACAAATATATTACGTTTTAGATAATTAAATGGGGTCACAAGACATCTGGACCACACTGCAACAAAGTCGTGGACATGGTGGGGCAGCCCTTATTGTGACGTCATCCAGTGTCATTGTGGGATCGTGGTGATGGTGATCACAGCTGATTGTCAGAACCGAATTCCACAAGTCCATTTGATCAAGGTCAAGATGACACATTCTTGTACCACGCTTACCACCACCCCTCACTCGCCTATCGGAACCGGCGGTGGTAAGTCTAGAGCTGACACTACTGCCCCGTACTCGGGGCAAGATAAGTGGGCTTTGGGTACTGTTCGTCCTTAACCCCAACCCGAAACCATGACCCCAACCTCTTAAAACCCTAACGCCTAAACCTGAATCCTTAAATCCCAAGACATGAACCTCAAATCTTCAATAATATCCGTAAACGTACATCCTCAAACCAAGCCTCAACTCAAACTCTAACCCCCAATTAAGCTGCTTAACTGTACAGGAACTTCAGTAAATGCAATGTTTTATATATTTGTATTCATCTGTGACACATTTCTGCCATAGATATGCCATCCAAGGCGCCATCATCAACTCAAACACCGGGAAGTGATTGAATGAAAATGTGGTCTATGATTGTATTAAAATAAACATCGCCAGGGATCGTAGTCGCAGTTCCACATTTCGTTTGCAGTGTTAAAACTGCTCTTTAACCAACCACGAATGAACGTGCTTTTGCCTACCCTGGTACTAATTTTATCGACCCTGCAGGCAAATTGCCATATGGTGAACCTCGGAGCCAAAAGTCAATGTTAAGTTTCCCATAATCTCAAAAATAGCCTTGGGCTTTGCATACCCTCCATCGGCACTCCTGATTCAGTGGTGGAAGTATGTCAGGTCGTGAAGTATAGCGTAACAACCACCACGACCCGCGCACATCATGGGGGAGAGCATCTATCGGTGACAGTGATTGACACAATGTCGTAATATTATTATTGTTATGACACGTACAGTTCGTGCCTAACGCATCTGTTATTGACCTCCCAATACAGTGGTGCAGCCTCACCATATGGTGGTTATTGTTCCATCCCTCGATGATGGTGGTGATGATGCTTTCTATTACTGTGCTGATAGTGATGATTGATTGGGTATTCCACCCTTGGTGAGTTCTGTGCATTGCCTGTCACTGTTGGGACCCTGCTGTGTTGACAGCTGAGTTGTATCGTAATTGATATGGGAATTCTACACCAACAGACACACCATTCATTCCCACCGTTAACATATCGAGGGGGATGATGTTTTCCTGGTGAAGAGGAATATTTATTTCATGTAATGGCAAGTTTTTGTTTAAAAGCAACTCCCTGTAACAAAATGCGTGTGTTTACTGAAATGAATATCCTACATAGACATGTTACAGCACTTTGTGAAATACGTTAAAATATGTAGGTAATAAAAACGTAAGAATTGTTTAAATCCCTCTATCAGTCCACTGCTGGATGATGGCCTCCCCATGCCCTGTGGTTGTGGGAGACGTTTAATTTTACTTGGCCACGCTGATCAGCGTTGGTTCGCGAAGAAAACCCTGAACAGTTTTTTTTATTAATTTTAATTTCATTTTTTTACCTACGTGACTTTACCGAAAGAACTAACAGTATGAATCCTTGCAGTCACGAAAGCTTCAAATCTAGAAATCCTGAACAGTTTGTCAACAAATTCACGAGAATGTGTGCGTTCTTATGTTCGCTGGAAGTTATCATCAAGTTTTTTTTGGACACTGGATCTCATAACGAGCGCATAATGGCATCGAACTTGCGAAATAGGAAGTAAAAATCGTGTTACTTCATAGCAGGCAACCACACCTCGGTAAATCCCCCACCGGGAAATTAGTGGGTACGGCTGCGTGCATGAAACCATCGAGTTGGGAACCGGCCCTAATCACCGGGTGGCCCAGACGTCGAAATGCACGGTAATTAATACGTATCGTCATATAGACATAGCCGGGCCATGTACACGCATGTTTTTTGTACGGTTTTTGGTGTATGGGATTGGCAGATTAAAACACGTTTGTGAGATAATTATCACGGTGCAATGTTTGCTGATATTTTTTTTTATTCCAAAGAGTACGAATTTGTTATTTGAAAGGTTCAGTTTTGAGATGGCACCACTACCTCTGTTATTCTAGACTGTATTTACCCAATACTATATTTACCACATTTTCCTTTGTGTATTGGCCTTGTAGATTTACGTGGCATTTGGTACGATTTATTATCTCATGTAGTGTTGCCAAATTCCGTAATAAGGAACAAAAGTAAACAGTGCATTTGTATGCATATAACATCCTAATTATTTTGCATTGTTTTCTAAGACAATTGTTACAAATTAAACCAGCATTGTGCAAAATTCAATGGTGAGTTATAACAAAGCATTTTATTTTCGCTGAATTACCAAACTAGGCGTTGCATTTTTTTGGGTAATTTTGCAGCAATGCATCGTACAATTCTGTACGTTTTATTTTCGAATTTCCCGTTACAGGGGTTATCGCTATGCCAGCACGTGGTTGCTGTTTTGTGGGTAGCAGCTGTAGGATGCACGGCATTTTGTTGAACCCCTTCTGTGACTGCAAAACCCTCATTAGTGTTGCCAAGGGATACAATGGATTGTTGAGGACAGAATGTACTCCATATTTTCCCCCAAGGGATTTCAGCATTTATATCACCATCTCCTACCACGGACAACACACATGTTTATTAGACTACTAAATGCTGCACTGTACCTATACGCCACTAAATATCTCTGCGTAGTAAGTAGAGGGCCATTGTCAGATTTTGTGCAGAAAATACCGTTCTGTTGAGGCTTTCTTTTTGTGTATATTTATGATACACTTGTCTAATCCCATGTTTATCCATGTATATGTTGCATTTTACAATTATTTAAATTCCACAGTCTTTATATTAAATAGTTGCTACACTATGGTATTTAAAAGTTAATCGCGCAATCGCCTAATTTTTTGAAAATTTAAATAGCTTCAATAGGTTTTCCACAAGGATATTATCTTTGCGAACTGCAATCGCTTTGTTATGGCATTTAGTTATGCACCCATGTCAATAATAGCTTCGCTATTGCAAAAACATAGCCCGCTGAAGCCTGTTTTTGTTTGCAAACGAATCTAATTCTATTTTTCGATTAAAATGTTGTGGTCGTTAACAAAGGGAAGACTAATACTAATGGGGTTTTGTCATTAGGTTTCCGTTCATGTTAAACCCCAATCCACTAATCCCCTTTTTTCGGGTAAAAAAATTTACTTTTAATGGCATGTTTGCAGTATAATCCTTAGCAACGGCTTCAAACAAGGGGTGATAGGAATGGCTTTGAATGTCAAAGGGAATTACCCTGTAAAAACAATCTTAATTTTGGCAAGCATAATACATTTGCAAGTGTGTTTATGCAAATACATTTGATGAAACATTTACGTAGGTGACTAAAAACAAGCATTGTCTTGACGTTTTATGTACATTGTAGATTTACACGTATTTACAACATCCCAGTTATGTAAGGCAATCTGTAATGGTAACGCGTGATAAAAATGAGTCATTATTTCAACACTTTTATTTCGAGGGGCTTTTTTATGTGCACATTATTACACCCTTTGCAATGGGCCCATGAGCTTGGCAATAACATAATAACAACACAAATATTGCCAAAAACATGTATTTACCAGCATGACATGAAATCGATGTTTCACGCTTAGCGTCGGGTTTTTTTTTGTGGAGAGGGATCTCCTTGTGTTTTTTTTTGGTAACTCGGGGTTGTTTTTCAGTTCTCCTTTAAGGGCTAAAAAACACAAGTGAGGTCATCCAATAGGGGGTTTGTAGGGGTGGGATGCTTGGGGTAAAGGTGTCACGTGGCCTTTGCCGCATTCTTTTTCTCTCTCGACGAGGCCTGCTCAAGTAGGGAATGTGCAAGTTCAGTGGCTTCGTGAATTGTCGATGTTCTCTCTGTCGTAGTGGATGGACTTGGAAGGTTTGGTTTTTTTTTGCTTGATTCGGTTTTAATCTATCATTTAATTACGTTGCCAAAAACAACAAGGCGTTATGGTGTATTTTTTTTCCTCTCTCGCCAAATCCTGGTGCTCGAATAAAAAATGCGTAAAAATGTTTTAAATGTGGGTTTATGTAATGGCACGTATGGGGTTTTTGGTGTTTTTGTGAGAACAAACTAAGCGTGCCGAAATCAACAACAAGTCGTGTAAAACGGTGCAGAGGGGGGCGGGGGTGTCTTGGTACCACCCCCCTCACCCCCCACATCTGTGCCACATTCCTATTGGCTGCTCCCGCTGTTGCCAGGGCTCTCGTTCGAACGCGGTGCCGCCCACTTCGAACGCCGCCCAATAGGAAGGCGAGGAGGGAGTGGCGCGAGGCCGTGTTGGGCGTTTCCATTGGTCGACGGGCGGGGGCGGGGCGTCGTCTGTGACGTCACGCGGATGATTGACAGGGGGCGAAGGCAGAGCTCCGCTTTATTTGACTGCGCTGTTGCCCAGCGCTTACATAACGCCACTGAAGCGAGCGGGCGAGGAGAGAAGATTTCCTCCTCCCGCCGTACGTTGTTGTTGTTGTTCGGGGGTTCTCACTAGGCCGTCCGTCCCCATCTCATGCCATTGCTTTGCTGTTGTGTTTTGTTAGAGGTACACGTTTTGTGTGCGAGCACGATGTGGATCGCTGTGGTGCGCACGTAGACAGCGTTTGATGAACGTTCTAGACGATGGAGGGGACGTGCCTTGAATTTTTTGTGATCGCTGCAAGGTTTTTTTGTTGTTGTTGCTGTCGTGTCGTGTCTGGATTTCCTGTTACGAGGCGTACGTAACGCAGTAATTGTGTTACGCGAATCGATTATGAGCACACTTTAACCATTAAGGAATCGCGTGGTATAAAAACATGTTTCCGACGTAAATTTGCCTTCGTGCTGGACATTTGGTTTCTATCACCGATATAATGTTACATTTTGATTTAAAGCTTTCGTGACTGCAGGGATTTATATTCTTGGTTTTTTCGGTAAAGTCACGTAGAAGGGAAATAATAATATAATAAAAATATTAAACAAAAATTCTCACGACGTTTCGACTGCAACACAATTTCACACCTGATGACGTTTGCTTGTGTTGCAGTCGAAACGTGAGAATTTTAATTGTTTTATATTATTTTAGTATTTCCCTTCTACGTGACTTTACCGAAAGAACCAAGAATACGATATAATCTCATTTTTTTACTCGCACAATCATCAATTATTTTTTTGTAAACAATGCCACGCGCCCAATTTAACAATTAACATCACGCTGTTTGTTTCTGGTCAGGCCTCTCCAAACCCCAAGTGACCGACAGAGCCGAAGCCCTTCTCAGGATAACGACCCGCGCTTTTCGGGAGGCCAGAATGAGCCCGATCCTATCCGAAATGGACAATTACAACATCAACAAGGGGGGGGTCCTGCTGGAGCCGTTCGTGCACCAAGTGGGGGGCCACACGTGCGTCCTCCGCTTCAACGACGCCACCATCTGCAAGCCGCTCATCAAACGCGAGCATCAGGTCTACGAGAGCCTGCCGCTCGACATCGCGGGCTTCGTGCCACAGTACAAAGGTGAGGTTGTCGATTTCCCATCCTGACTATTAACGCAGTTTTCGTCGTCCGCAACAACTTGCTTGTCATACCCTCCTCTCCCTATCCTCGCCGCCGCTCCGTACGGATTTCTTGATGTCGTCTTAGTCGTGGCGATGATGATGCTGATGCTGTTGTTTTGACGTCATGGGTTTTCCCAGTGACCTCGTACCTGCTGGTCATGTGCGCTAAGAAAATACCAAGACCACCTTTGCCGAACCGGTTTTGCTTAAGTTATACTGGCGAGAGGCGTTCCTTGGTTGAGTATTTTTTGTTTGTTTTAAATGTCTCTTAACATTCGTCACTCGAGCACCGGGCCCCTTCCCGAAAGCCCTCTGTGTGTCTCTCTACTCACCCACCACACTCGCCCTGCTCGCAAGATCCCCGTAATATGCTTGAGTCTCCCGCGCGCGATGTGTCTTTCCCAGGCTTAGGTGACCCCCCCCCCCCAACGCTTTGTAAGGCTTATAGGTGGCCGGCCCCCCCCACCCCGAGTGGCTTTTCTCGCTCGTTAGACGACACAACAGCGCCTGGGGGTGGTGGTGACATGGCATGGCCACGCGTCTGCTCACGCTCGCGTCGCCCGCGGCAGCACGGTGCCCTGCCACTTTAGCTGGAGTCTTGCCATGGCTGATGCTGATGCTGCTGCTGCTCCAGTAATATTCCGTCGCGATCGCAAGCGACCATCGGGGTGGTACAGATAGAGCGCCGAATCGATGGTACGAGAACGAAGGACTTTCGCGTTGATTTTGATTTTCGTTTGCGGTCGACGCTGATTATTTTTGCGATTTTTTTTTTTTAATTCCCCCCCCCCGCCCCAAAAATACTTGTGATGTTATATGGATTGTAAATATGATGGTGACGATGTTTGCTTGGAATATTTCTCGGTGGTTTTGTGAATAAATGCCGTGAAAAAACTCTTTTTGTGTTTGGACCAAAGAAAATATCTCAAAGTGACTGGGATATGAGGCTGATTGCTATCTTAATGTCCAGTTACTTGATTGTTTGCACATGCACATGCCACTGGCAGTTTTATTTGTTTTGTGTTCACGTTTGTAATTGACAAATTGCTGTAAAAATGCACTTTATCTGGGTTTGAACTCTACAGTATTTTACGACTTGTTGCTATGTTGTAACATACTGTAACTTGCGATTTGTTTTTTGCAAACGATGCCTGTGTATGCTCTGCTGTGCAATTTTCTCATTTGCATCAACGGATTCTTTTGGTTGTGGCTAGCACTTTGCACTTGAAAACGGAATTTTTTTTTTTTCAAATGTGGTCAATAAAGCAATATGTTGATCAAACGTCTTTGTCGTTCTTTGAATGGCACATCAGTTCGTTAGACTAACGGAACACATTACATGAAAATATTGCCTATATTTTTTTGCAATGTGCAGATTTGCTGCCTGTGTTCCCATGTGTCACTCTTCAAATTAGGTTATAGCTTCATCGGGATGTGAGGGCGGATCAAAAAAACCCGCCCTTTACATTTGTTCTCCAAGATGTGACGTTAAACGGTAAGAAAACAAATTTTTGTTTTGTTTGCCGAGATCTCATTCGAGCTTCCGGCATTTTTCTCGCTCCACGGCAATGTGTCGCTAAATTTGTGCCCTCTTCAATTCCCCCCGCCCCCCCCCATAACCCGGGCGCTCGTGAACAGGCATCGTCTCGGTCAGTTTCGAGGAGGACGAGGAAGGAAAGACGAGCCTCATCGCCTACCCGCAGACTGAGGGAGAGGAGGCCGCGGGCGGTCGCTACGAGCGCAAGTACTCGCTCGAGTGCGGGCAGCCCAAGCGCAAGCAGCCGCGCTGGGACAACAACAATTGCAATGGTGGCGGCGCCGTGCCCTCGCCGTCTGGCAACTCCGAACAGCAGCCGCACACCGACGCCGGCAAGCAGAAGTCCTCCTCGGTGGAGAAAAGGAGGTACGTGTGGCGACGAAATCCTATTGATCTTCGCTCAAGTTGTGGTAGCCGCTGGTGCACGCGTTAGTGGTGGGGGCAACCTGAACAAGAACTTTGGGACTAATGTGTTACACTGCAGTTTAATTATTGTAGTCACAAGGAATGTTTTGTGTAATTGCCAAGGTAATTACATGAAAGAGGATTTTCTGGAATTATTTTAATATCCGTTTAGTTAATTTTTAATTAAATCTGGCCGTAATCCTACGTTTGCATCTGCAAGCGGTGATTTTTTTTTTTTTTACAAATTCATGGGTACAGCTCCCTTTCTCTCAGGGTTTCAAACATCGTGTTCCAAGCCAGCCATTGAACAGACACGGTGTGTTTTGCGTGGGTTAGTTGAAACTTAAGGATAGAGTATTGTTTGATATGGGCGTTGTGTGGTTTGGGCTAATGTGTAGTTTTATTGCAATACCCATGAAATTTAAATTGCCACACCAGCAATTGCAAAAGTAGCCGTTTACCATGATTTTAATTTTAGAGAATACCTTGGTTCCAGATACACTTTCAAAAAAGGTGTAGCAGTGGTACGGTGGGCCAACTCACTGCAACGGAAACGTATGATCCGAATAAAATTTCAGGCCTTAGCTGACACCAATGGCAAATGGTATTTGAACTGATCATTGGGCTCCGTTTTACTAACCCACACTGGCTAGCCTGGTGAAGAATGGTCAAACAACCCCTTACGATTGACATGCGAGTGGGGGGCTTGATCCAACAGGCGATTGACAAAAGGGCTGTAAATAATGTTTTTAAACTTGCAAACCAAAATTTCATGCAGAATGTGGCCTATTAAAAAATTTACCTGTTTTTTGATGTTGCTGTGGGCACGCAGGCAGGAGAAGTCTTGTGAGGTTGGTGTGAAGTCGGAGGTGGCGTACTACAAGCGGGACTCCAGCTCGGAGAACCTGCCAGCGGAGACGCGCGGGAACCCCTGGAGCATGGAGTGCCACCAGCAGCAGCTGCAGCGCATGAAGGACAATTCAAAGCACAAGAACCAATACAGTATCCTTCATAACACTAAACTATGTTGTTATTTTACCAGCTAAGGCCCCCACTGAGCTATTATTTGGCGCTTTTTTTCAAAAGCGGCCTTGCAGCCAAATACTCTAAACGCATGTTGAGTCTAAATGTGGAGGTCACGTGACTTCTCGCACGGGGAGAACATGCAAAGTCTAAATATACAGGCGTCGGGATCAAACCCACGACCTATATACCAGGCAAGATAGTTAACATCTCACAACCGTGGCTCCCCATAGGTCCCCAGTACCCTGCTGCTTCTCAAAGTCCAGCTCGGTGGTGCGGTGGATGAGCTCATGTGTAAAGGCATTCAACCCTGGTTGATTTTCATTAAAACAATAGTTTTTTTTAAATTAAGCATTTGACCTTAACCAGCACTCGAAGGATTCCTTCTGCTGGAGAACCTGGTGTCTGCGTACAAGTGGCCGTGCATCCTGGACCTCAAGATGGGCACGCGGCAGCACGGTGATGACGCATCCGAGGAGAAGCAGGCGCGGCAGACGCACAAGTGTCAGCAGAGCACATCGGCCGTCCTGGGCGTGCGCGTGTGTGGCATGCAGGTCCGTTGCAAACCGCTCGCACTCTCAGAATCGTTCACAGTCCTGTTCAGCTTTCTATCAATAAATATTGCTGGATGAAAAGCTCCCAGTGCCCTGTTGGTTGTGGAGGTTTGTTTGAACATATTTCACCATGGTGATCGTTGCAGGTTGGTGAAAGGGCACGGTAGGGGTAACACAGCCTGGGTCAGATATCGCTTGCAGCGGATGCGAGCTGTGACTGGGTTCCTAGCGGCACAGTATGCTAACCACTACACATCTGTTTCCCCTTGAAATTGTACTTGCCTCTAAAAGCATTCTCTGAAAAAGTTGTATTTGTTCAATTGGACTTGGGTCATAAATGTGTCAGGTTGGCTAGCCACTCAAAATGGCACGTAGGCACGTAAAATCTTGCAAGGGACGATTTTACAAGGGTGGGGTGATGACGTCTCCGTAGGTTCTCACGAGCCTCATTCTCAAAACTGCGGTTTTGTGAGCCAGTCATGTGATCTTTCACGGATTAACTGAACTTTGGTTACGGGTGCGTTTGTGGTTTATTGGTGTGGGCGTAAAGCGTAGCTGAGAGGTCTTTTATTGGTGAACGTTTACTGGAACGAACCCGTGCAAAGGTCATTGTTTGAATACAGTCTGTACCCGTGATAACAGTAGCAATCGCTGTTCTTTTCTGATATATTGTCAGATTTATTACTTCACAATGGTAGTTCTGTAGTTTTCACCATAATCGTAGATAAGCACGTACGGTTGTTTTGGCTGGATCTGACACATCCGTGGATAAATGCGTTTCCTTTGCACAACAGGTGTACAGGGTAGACGCTGCTCAACACATGTTCATGAACAAGTACATCGGGCGCAAGCTGTCGGTGAACGGCTTCAAGGAGACGCTGACCCAGTTCTTCCACAACGGACAGCGCCTGAGGAAGGACCTTTTGGAGCCCGTCCTGCGCAAGCTCTCGGAGCTCAGGGTGGCGCTGGAGCGCCAGGACTCGTACCGCTTCTACTCCAGCTCCCTGCTCATCATCTACGAGGGCCAGGAGTGCTGGACGTCGAACTCTGAGGCCAACGATAGCGCAGGGGAGGAACCCGGTTGCGACGGCGCCGGCGTGAACGAGGCGGTGAAGGTGGACGTGCGCATGATCGACTTCGCGCACACGACGTGCCAGCAGTTCACGGACGACTCCGTGGCCTACGAGGGGCCGGACTCCGATTACATCTTCGGGCTGCGCAACCTCATCCACATCCTCAAACAAATCAAGCACGAGCACGAGAACGTGGGCCCCAGCAGCTCTGTGCACGAGGAGGAGAGTGGCGATTGAAGAAGGCGCTCTTTCGCCACCGTGCGTGGTTTTTGAAGCGTGAATTGTCGTTGATCCTGACGCACAGGAGAGGAAGAAAAAAAAGCGTTGGCGCAGACGGCGCCGTTGACTCTGGTGTTGAGTCGCTCCACCAGCAAAGTAGCGGGGAGTTGTTCTTTAAAACCTTGTTGGATGTCGGACCCTTTGCTTTCCGGATAGACTCGTACAATTTTCAGAGCTGTCACCAGCGGTATATTTATTTGGACAACGTAAAGGAGTTAAAGCAAAAAAACAACAACTTTGGGATCGCGTGCGAAGAAGATGTGCAGATGACGTTTGAGAACACTTAGTAAATGGCTCTTATAAACTGTTGACATTGTTGGTTCTTAATTTCAGAATTGTTTCAGAAAGGCATGGACTCGGATGAATGCATTTTATACGTGTTATCAGAAGAAACACTTGACATGAAGGTTGACTGCGGGCTGCAAGATGCATACTGTTCCTGCTGGTTCATTTCTGATGAACAAGTTGATGAAACGGTCACGAATTGGATTATTTTTTCGCATTTCACAATGAAAACTTGAGCTTTAAAGGGTTACATTTTTATCCTGAGAGGTTGAACTCTGCGAGATTACAATGGCATTCTGAGAATGTATATTGCAGTTTATTCTTCCTATATATATCTCTCAGCCTGAGAGGCATGTTCGTCTTATATAGAGTGTTACTTAAATTAAGGAGACTTTTCCGGTCTTGGAAGTGAGGACACTAAAAAGAGGGACCAAAAGTTAAATGTTATTCAAACGAAGCGATGTTGTGTTTACAATGATGTTTTCGATGGAGCGGGCAGTCTCCAGCATTTTTTTTTGTCGTTGCATCGCAAATGTTTGCACTTCCCTGTTTTCTCGCACACCCGTTGTAAACGTGGAATATAAGCCGATATATATTCCATTTGCATATTTATTTATATCGTGTAAAAGGGTGATGTTTATTGAGGAATGGGGGGGGGGGGGGCTAAGACACAGGTGTCTGACCTTCCGTGAAAATTTGGAGTGATCGTGATCGTATATATTGAAGTTCTCTATATAATAAAGAAAACCGCAGTACGTTTTGTTGCGCGTGTCTTTTCAGCAACCCGTCGCATGTGGTAATCCGTTTTCTGTGGTTTTATTAGAATTGGTTTGAAAAAATGTGCGGAAAATTCGTCATTGAACGAAATGAGATTAAGGCAATATAAAAATTATTCATCTCCATGGAGCAGAGCCGTGGCCGATAAAAAGCTAGGTCACAAAGGCAAACTTGATTTTTTTTTGGTATTTTCAAGTCGATACAAATGCAATTTTGCTTGTGGGCATTTATGCATCTGTTGTACTACTGTATATTGTACAAAGGGCCTCAATGATATGAAATTGCCTTTTACGTAACCAGGCGAGGCCCATTAATAATCCTTGCAACCAAGACCTTGAACACGACATCAGGACAGTAATGATCTTTTACAATTCCTCATTTGTTTTCCACAAAGATGCAGCAACGTGCCATTTCCCCTTCACAGTAGATGGATGTTCAAGAACCATGAAGTGCCAAGGTTACTTTGATATGGGGGCATGCCCTCGTCGCCTTTGACATCTATATAGTGCAAGGGCTTCTGGGAGGATGGCCACACTTGTCGCAGGGTTTTCTGGGAAGTGTCATTGAGTCATGGCTGTGTGTCGCACAGGTTTATGGGAAGCCTGCAATGGTGTTGGGGCTCAGGAGAATGTTGTACCATTCCTACCTGGATTGGGGAGACACCCATTGTCAAGTGGTTGATTTCTTGTTCGGGACAATTAAAAAACGTAGCTCCTGGCCAGCTATTGTTTTCAATGTTTACCAAGGGAAGATCGTATTAAGGATGTTGCTGCTCGTAGCAACATCACAACCTGGAGAAAATAAAAGGAGAGAAGAAAGGGCCAATACATTTCTCCTGGTGAAAGCCGTCGCGTGCAAACTGCTTCGTGGTGGTGGTGGTGTTCAGAATCTCTCCGTGGCTCGGTCACGTGGGCAGAACTAAGACCAGCTGTGGAAATGAGTATCATCGACCCCGAGATGAATTTTCTATCTTCCGAGATATATATGCCAATATATATGATATAGTGTATACAGCACGTCTTATATATATTGAACGAGTAACACATGCTTGACTTGTTGAAATAATAACCAAAAGACCACGACATCAATTACTGATCATGCACACCACCATCATGCATGCAGTATGATTTGTGTTCATAATATCTCAACGCATTAAAAATGATGGTGTATCATAGAAGCTTGAAAGAGACGGGTATGTTTAGGTTATTTTTAAAGGAAGAGACCGGATCCATTCCGATTAGTATTACCCATTGCACTCCTGACCACTTCTAACATCATCATGAGCCATGATTAATCCACTGCTCGATGAAGACCTCGAGCTGTTGGCATCTCTCACGACCTGTGCTGCAACAATCTCCTAGCACCTGCACAGGAGTTGATTTCATCGCTTCATCTGGTGTCGGAAGTCTTCCGTTCCATTGCTGCCCGTTCTCACATTGCGTGAAAGTTAAATGTTCCAGCGATGATTTTAACCACTCCTATTATAGGCGTAAATAGAGAAGTGAATGATGTTTAAAAAAAAAGGTATTTCGAATGTTAAGTTTTTAATTGATCGAATCTTACTGAGTCATACACGAGTCCAAAGGCTGCATGAGGTCGCGGGTAAACATCCAGTCACTCGGTAACGCATGCTGAGAACTATTTTCCAGAGGTGGCTGTGGGGAACTAAATTCATTTCAGAGAGGGCCTATCCGTCTGCCTGGTCCTTACCGGGTGCCTACAACAATTTGCAACATCGAATGAATGTCGGGCGCAGCGTGGCGGCCCTGGTAAACACATTCCTAGGGTATCACTGGCACAAAACATGTGCCGTGTCTTCGCTGCCACGCGCAGAGTGACCGATGACACTGGATCTGGGAATTGAGACGCAGATGCAGTTCTGACAGTGCTATTAACCACTTTAAATGTAACCTGCTTTAAGGCCCTTTCTGTGGGATGCCTCGATTGGTGGCTCATAACGGTCAGGTTTCACCAACTCGGGTCTGACGAGGCATGTGAATAACTCACACCAAAGCGATTGGATGGGTTGTTATGATTTTTATGCATATCTTCAACATCTCGCTTGCATTTACGACTACAATGAGCCAAGAATGTCTATGTGTCCCGCGCGTGACGTCACCCCACGTCGACCAGCCCCCCTCATTAATAATCATGAAGAGGTGACGTCTTCCAAATGGACACCCCCCCCCCCATGCACAATAATTAGCGGGTGACGTTACTCCACATGGGGGGGGCGAGGCGCCTCCTCCCCCCTTCCTCGGCGTCAACTCACAGCCCTCACTACAAAGGCAGAACCCTCACGTCACGCGGTCTCCGTAACGCTGTTGAAACATCAAAGTAAAAAGGACGTCACGATGAACAAGGGATTATAACCTTTAAATGAAATAAGTCTGTGTCACCGCGGCCTTACAAATTGCACACGCATTGATGCAATGACTATCACGTCGTGGTCTGCTTTTTGCTTGCAAGTTTCAGATTTACTGCAATACAACCACTGTTTCTCTACAAATCTGGCTGTCGCCTGATGAAGCTAGTTGTAATTACTGGTGAAACGTCGTACTCAGATTGTAAATGTTGTGGCTTGGCTCTCCAACACACACCGGTGTTGCTGTACTAGTGACGAATTGTCCATGTTTTGTTTACGTGACAACCCTTACTAGTTGGCTGTGACGGGTGGTGGCGGGTTTTGACGACACATTTATATATTTACGCGATCTAACCCAAAACATCTCTATTATGGATGAAAGCCTACGTGTTAAACATCGTCAATGCAATTATAAACTTAATAATAAATAATTGAATGGCCACAAAATATCTGCAAAACGTCACAGCAGTAAAGGCGGTGCCCACCATTGAGTGTGTATACTGCGGGTGTTGTTCCACTCCGGAAAATGTTGACGGTTCTTTACGGGAGCGACCCAGATGTGGAACCGTGCCTTGAATTTTCCAGATCGCATCGACTGACGCCGCGCGTGGACAAGGCGCGTCGTAATTCTAGAAGCCTGTTCTAAATCAATCGATCTATTTTTACCTCTGGAAAGGTGACCGTGATGATGTTCCTACAATCTGTTCGACTTTTTGCACCGAAATATCACACAGAGGTGGGGGAGGTGGGGGGTTTGGCGTAATGCTCGTGAGAACATCCGTTAACCCTACTTAGCTCGACGGTCTATGGGTCCACAAAATCGTCACGGTTTGTGGCAAGGCCATAATTATAATATATATTCAAAATGTCCCCCCCCCCCCCCCATATATTGCTATATATAAAAAAAATTGCTATGCTATGTAGATTAAAACAACAATTTGTTAAACCTTGGCCACAATATCTGGACTTGTCTTCATATAAATGAATGCATAAATTTATGTTTATATGATTGTGGTTATGGTTGTACTTTATTAATCCCTAATCTCTGCCATTACATACAATGAAACAAGAAATGGTGAAAAGAAAAAACAGAGCAATGTAATACAATACACTATTAGACATTGTAAAAAAAAAAAAGTCCATCCCATGTGTTAATTTTTTAAAAATATATTTTAGGCAGGAAATTAGTTTTCAAATTTAGATATTTTTCTGGGTTGGGACCCCCAGACACCCTGGAAGATTTGGTCCCCCCCAATGTTGACTCCATGGCTAGGGCCTTGGTTTGTGGGCCCCTCAAGCAAGTAAAACCCCGAAGAGACGCAGTCTTATTTGTATACATAGAGAGAGCTGCTTGAAAAATGGAACAATCACTCAGGCACACACCGAGATGCACGGCCGGTCTCAACTTATCAAAATCTTTAAACGCTTCCGCAAGAATTCACAACTGTTACAGCCAGGGAACATTTCATATATATATATATGAACCATTGTGGATTCAACCACATTTAATATGTATATTTTTTTTGGGGGGGGGGGGGGGTGGTTAGGCCCTACGTAATGATTCGGCCAGATATTGTATTGTGAAGATCCTGCCCCCAGCCACGGATCCAACGCAGCCAAACAAATGAAACTGTTGCGCGTAACTTGCAGCGTAAGAGGCGTTTTAACAAGCCAAACTTTGCTCCTTTCAGCTCGCTCGGCGGCAAAGTTGAAGAACAAATTGTCGCAACAAGATGCAGCAACACCTGTTTGACGCGACAACGTCGCGTTGGAATTCACGTCAACACATTCCTCGGTCAGGGAAAAAAAATTCCAGGCCTCAAATTGAGAACCCAAGACGTGAGATTAACCATTCCAGTAAGGTCCACGTGATTTGTCGGACTCTCCGTGCCTACTGGGATGTCACCTGACCAGGCTTCCGTTGTGCGGCGTGACTTGCAGTGCGACGTTTGGTGCAGCCTCCCCGTGCAACTCAACATTGTAAAATTGTACCGTATAAATTATCGTAGATTTTAGAATGTGTGTATGTGCGTCAGTCATTCCGTGGTTGCTGTGTACTCAGCGCTACGCTGCGCCACAAACTCGGCGACCCGAGTTCGATTCTGCGCTCACGGCCACACACTTGTGTCGATTATCTGAACCGGTCATGTGCGTCCCCTAGGTCGGCTCAGCCTCGAATGAGTATCCGAAGCGGTGTGTAAACATCGCTATTTGGGAACAAAGGTGGCCGAGCGTGGTGCTGGCCACCCACCCCTTCGTGTGCCGTGCCGGCCTTCATAGGTGCTCGCTAACAACACTTGCCCCCACAGTCTGTTAAGGCTACACGGGGGATGTTTGTCTTGGTCATGCTATGTACTGTATGTGTCACTTGACACCCTTGCTAACGCGATGTTCTGTCTCAAACAACTATGCAGGCGAATTATTTAATTAATAATACATTCATAAACAGGTATTTGTCGATCCACCTAATCGTGTGGCTTTGCTCTTACTCCATTGAAACGCTTGAATTGTCACGATTCGGGAATCAAGATTTGTATTCAAGAGTCTGTAACTTTTGGTAGCTGACTAATTTTGATAATTGGGTTTGCTCAGTTTACCGAAATGCAACATGCG